CCCCAAAACCCCAAAACCCCAAAACCCCAAAACCCCAAAACCCCAGTTTAGACAGGTCTGGTTGAAATTTGTAGAATTTATTGAGACTGAAGCCATTAGAAAATCGTACAATCCTTTTTGGTCTTGTTTAATCTTTTCTTCAGTTCTTTTTTCATATTTTTATCTTTGTACCAGAACCTATTCTTGTTGTGAAGGAACTGTTTTGGGTTGTAATACTGCTTCTCTCTCTTAGTCTCTGGGAGGACAGATTCTAAGAACTCTAGGGATTCATAGAATAGAAGAATAGGCAGCTCCTTTCCTTTCTTTCAAGTTTCAATGACATCTTCAAAATTGCCGATCTTCTTTATTTTAGAGTCATTGAAATGGAGCCAGTAGTCATGTTTCTCAGAATAGAAGTAAGCCATATAATGTTTTCCGTAGTATGATACAAATCCTCTTAGCACATAGGTTGTCTTGAAATTATCATTTTCCTCTGTTCTCATAAACTGTGCTGTGTGAATTAAAGGAGAAATTATGTGAAAAATTCGATCAATTTTAGCTCTATCTGCTTCATCAGGATCAATCCAATGAATTGCAAAGGTGAAGACAGATGGTGAAGAGAGAAGGGTCATCTGCTTTGGCTTCAAAGCTGAATTTGAACAAGAAGGGCATATTTTTGGAGCCGTATTTCTTTCTTCACTCTCACTAAGATACATCTTCTCAATAATAGTATCAAGCACTGCATTTGACGAATCTTCAAGGTTGAGTAATTCTTCTGTATAAAGGTTGATGAGATAATCAAGATGGGTATTTTGAACTTCTTCAATATGTTCGCATGATTCACATTGTAAATTCTCAGCGATGTCTATCCCAAATGCATTATGGGAGACTCATCTGCCGCTACATCCAGTATCTTCATATTCCTCCTCTTTCTTCTTTAATTTCTTTGGTTTTTCTCAATATTTTTCGTAATAGTTTGGCTTTATGTATTCCCGATGTAGGTAACGAAGGATTTCTTCAAAGGTTTCTTGTGCTCAAGCCATACTTCCCTCGCTAAAACCTTGGATCTCATTGTTTCCAGTAATTGAATCTAGTGCCTGTCTTACATGAGAAGGTGTCAATACGTTTGATTCGTCATATTCATAGTTCACAAAAAGAGTGATAAGATTACAGAACAGACATGATTCTTCGATAGTAAGTTCCCGGTCAGGTTTAGCGAATGAACTAGATCCATAGACCATTTGGGTAGAAGCACAAGGTTCGTTTTCTTCTCAACAATCTATATTCCCATTATCATCAAATTTTGGATAAGATATTTTGCTAGCATCAGTCACTACTTTCTTTTTGGTAGGCAGTTTTTCTTCTTCGTGAAATCTTGTTGCAGATCCTCCATCTAGGGATGGATAGGCTGCATTACTCACATCTGTGTATGTATTTCTGTTCTGATATCCTCCTAAACCAGCACTAGGAGGTCCAGGCATAGGGTCGAGTGAAGGATAACCACTCGGAGAAGGATAACCAGTTCCTCCAAGAGGAGCACTAGCTCCTGCAGTCGGAACTGTGGGTGCATCACCACCTCCTCCAAGGGATGGATATCCTGCCATTGGCTCTAAGGATGGATATGCTCCTCCAGATGAAGGATCTGGATATCCCCCAGCATTAGTAGAGATACTACCCATGCCATCACTTTCCTTACTCTTCGGTTTTGGACGAAGTTTTCCCTTTTTATGCTTATGCATCTCTAAATCTTTGAAGACTCTTCTAAATGAATTGAGGTGCCATAGACTTTGAATGATAACATTTATGAAACAATTGTTTGCTCCCATAGAATTGTCAAGCCCTTTATAAGCCTTGTCATAGCTTCCTTTGAACATGCTGCTGTTCTAATTTTATTCTATAAAATGTATGCAAGTTGGGGTTTTGGGGTTTTGGGGTTTTGGGG